TATGGTAAAAATAATAAAATAATTATCTACTGTGTAGCAATTTTAAATTAATATTAGTCATGCACAATTAAAAGACAAAGGTAAGGAATTCACTGAATATTAAATTGCAACAAAAATAAAAGCACAAAAGCAAATTCTCTCAAAACCATCTTTATTCTCAAGAGCCAATTCACATTAGCTGCAATCATCGTCAGTCATGAACATCAAAATCTTTTCCTCCTGAGGTCCTCCATGCTCATGTCAGAGCACTGTCCAGAGCTGGACAATGTTTCCAGTACAATGCCGAGTGCAAGACAGCACATTTGGAACAGAATTTCCTCATCTTCTGTTTTGCTGCCACAGATTCACTCCTACACCTACACACACTTTATCTCCCTTTCTCTCCGTGACGGTTTTCCAGTACGTGTTGAACAGATGAGTTGAACAAGAAGACACTCAAACACACAAGGAGAGAAGTCTGTGTTGACGGTGGATGATCTCTGATGCTGGTTACATTTGACCAAGAAGTTGTCCTTATATGTGTCTGTGTATAGCTGTGCTGCTTTGTACTGTCAGTGAAGTCCAGCTACGGTTATAATAAAAAAATTTGAATCGTAAAACTAATGCACTAATTTAAGTGTTTTTTTTATAATTCATAACGTCTTGCTCGTAGTTCTTTTGCCGAGATGTGGAAATGGATTTGAGAGCAAGATACTATTTTTTTTTTTTTTTTTCCGCTATGCAAAACAATACCATGTTCATATTATGCTAACAACATCTGTAAAAAAAATCTGCAGTCTGAAAATATACATCCTTTTTACCTTTGTACTGTAAAATAGCTTTTCTATGGTGCAACTCTTGTTATTGGTTTGTAACTGAGTAACCTTAAGAGTAACAACTCGTGGGAGAGATAACAGCGTACTGGCACCCACAGTAAACCTTTTTCTGAACCACCAGTCAGCATTGACTATGTTTACATGCACCGACAGGTCTGTGCATATGATAATTCAAGTAATTATGGTTATGGTGTGTGACGTGTAAAAATCCAACATATTCTTACAGCCATTAACGCCACTTTGTACACATCCTACAAAAAACACGCATTGTATCACGGACTACAAAAAGTTAAAGTTCGTAATGCTTCTCAAATGTGTACTTTGATGTAATTTGGTCAAACATTACTAGGAATGCACGATAATTATTGAGGCAGATAAATTAAACTTCAGTGGGCATAAACTACAGGTTATGAAAAATTAAAATACGAAAATGTGAAATCGGTTATTGTATTGGTATCGGCCATGAGAAGCAATCAACTGAAAAAAATTCATATCGTGCATCTCTAAAAAATGACTAAGTTTTAGTACGTTTTTTTTGGGGTTAGAGCTGCAGTAATTCATTTTTTATGAACAATGAGTGAAATGACTACATGTAATGTCAAGGGGTCACTTTCAGTGATGAAGCATTTTAGCCTCTAACCTCATTAGCTGCGTTTCCATCCAAATGTATCGAAAAGTTTAACCAAGTTTTGAGTAATTTAGCAAAAGAAAATGCGAATGAATGCTTGTTTCCATCCATTACTGTTATGTGATTATTAAGAGTTGGTTCACAAAATAAACGAAATAAATTATCCAGTCGCAAGAGAAGAAGGCGCAACAAGATGGCATAATAAAAAGAGGGCCAGTCGAATCTAAAACGGTGAGAAACACTGCAGAAAAGAGGATCAAACACCATACTTCTACTATGAAAATACATTGATGGAAACACGGCTAGTGCTTTGGTTTTATGGTCCACAACTTCACTGTTTTGCGTCTGCCTCCCTTCCACCAAATGGCAGACGGACAGCTGCTAGCTGGTGAATATCATGAAGTAAGTACAATAGCAGCTAAGCAAGATATTTTTCTCAGATATTTTTGGAGACCAAAACAGAGACTGAACAAGAGTTAATATTAGACTTACATTCATCAGGTCGCCACAAACACAACTCCAAAATCATGCTAGCTCCACGTCTGCAGGTGTGTAAATAGGCAATATAGCATGCTAACAGGTTAACCATATCAACTTTAAGGCCATAATTTGTCAAATTAGTGTGATTTTCAGGTTGTTATGAAGTTCTGCCATAAAGTGGTTTACTAAAACATATTAATGCAGCTTTACAGTTACTGTAAATAATTTTGGTTAATGGTGGGGTTAGGTTTTGGTCGCTTACTTTTCTATAAAACATCAAACCTAGTTGAGCTCAATCCATTCCTTTTAATATCAAATGAAACTTATAACATCCAATGTGATTAAGCTGAAATGTCATGACTAGAGAACACTGCTATAATGTCTATCTAGTTCATCTTTGAAACTCTATTTTTTGTTTTTCTATTGCACAAGATGTTGTAAGGAATATAGCCAGGCTATGAACATTACAATTACTCTGGCCTAAAAAAGTTTTAGAAAGCAATGCCTAAAAATCTCGGTCAAGAACTTTAAAGTAGGACTTTTAATTAGTTTTTAAAGTTCATACTTTTTTTTTGAGAATTTGAGAAACCTGGGGCTGGCTGCACAGGCAGACTTTGGATATGACTTAGGTTTAACTAAAAGTCACACTTTAGGCCGATGTCAAAGTTGTTCAGTTTCAGGAAACCATCTTTAATAGGATGGGTAATGGTTCATAGGTTCAGATTTTTTTGTCGAAGTCTATCTTAATTTTATACTCGCTGCCCATAAGCAGGAAGGGAGAGTTCTTGGTCCCACTAATAACTAACTTTGTCCCTGCAGCCTTAGTTCCTCACTGCAAGTGCACTGAAGGAAATGGATGAAAATATTTCACAGACCTTGATTTGCAAAAGCTAAAGGAAAGGAGCACTGGAAAAATGTCAAAGAAATTGTGCTAAATATACCTGCAGGTGGATTAACTTTCGAGGATAACAGTTAATGTAATCAGCTGTGATATCACTGTGATTATTCCCCCGAAAAGCTGATTGCTCTGATAGCCTGAACATAAAATGGCTAATAACTTTAGGCTTAAAAGTACTACAATATCTTTAATACCATCAAATGTGTTATGTGACAGTGGTCACCACAGAAAATTCTGTTTGCAGCTCTACAGAGATTTTTTTCTTTTTTAGGTCATTGCTTTAGTTTTGAGTAACTAAATGTATAGTTTGTCTCATTAAACCCCATCAGCCCTGTTTCCAGGCAGCTGTTTTTCAGCAATAAGCCTGATAACCACTGTCAAGACCCAGCGTCAAACAAAGGTTAGCTAGCTGGCGAAGAAAGCCAAACATCAAGCAGACAAATTCAAGTTTGAGTGTTCGTGAGCGTGTTGTGGAGTTCTGCCCCTTATTGGTGGCAAAGAAAAAAAATCAATTAATGCAGCTTTGAAATTATTTAATTGTCTTAACTCTGATTGTGGCCCTTTGTCTGTGCAGAAAGCCAGAAATACTTAGAGAAACTAAAGGACTTGCACCTTACTTGCATTTTGATCTAAGGAACATAGCTGCAACTGGCTTGTGGCCGCCACGTCACTTTTTGATCCTTTGATGTCGGCTCTTCCTATCATTGGGAATTCACCAAGCATTGGATTGTTCACTTATTAATAGGGAACGTGTGCTGGGTTTATACTGTTGCCCTCTAGAAAGTCCTTGCTCCTGAGGTAGTATGTATTAAGGGTCCAGCAGCTATCAGGCGGAGTTAAAGCACTGATCACAATGAATGGTCAAACACAAGCCTCTGAACTGCTAAAGCACATGTACAACTTTCAATCAGACTGCAAGCAAGCAAGCCATAGTTGTTAGGATATAGGGAATGGGAATCGCAGAGCCTTCTGATGCTGCCATTTTTGGAGCATAACGTTCATAACTGCTAGGGGTGTGCATCTCTCCCCTTTAAGATAATCTGATACGCATCTAGATAGATGGGCTACAATACGACTTAGGGATGATGCATTTTAATAGGTAACAGTTAGGACCCATTCCATGCAATACATTGTGATCTAATACAGTTCTTAACATTTGTTTAATGTAGATATTTATTTATTTATTTATTTATATGGCATGGGGAAAAAAAGAGACAAATGTATCATGGCTAAGTTGTGGTTGGAAACTGTTTAATATCCGTGTCTAGCTCGTTGTTGCTTGTGCTAGCTGTATTAGCATCCACAGACTCCTCTTTGCCTGCATAGTGTCACCATGCCATCTTACCAGGCGAGTGTTACCATTTGGTGTGCTACCACTGGACTTCATTGCTGTCTGACAGATCTTACAAATGGCTAGACTTTTGTCCAAATGTCCTTCCTTCTGATAGAATCCAAACTGTCTATGTCCTTCCTTCTGATAGAATCCAAATGTCTCCTAAAAAGTTTAGGTTTTAGATTTGGCTGGTTTGTTGTGTAAAGTTACTTGATCAGTGAAGATTCTTACATTAGCAACAAATGCAAACATTATCCCCCAAGCCATGAGCTTGCAAGCTAGATGTTGCTGGATAAAGTTTAAATTCCCTCCCCTGCTTGGTTATGTTGGGAAAGAATGAAAAGTCCATGATCTAAGTTTTTTTTGTTTGTTTGGTCATGCGATTGGTTGTTACAGGCCAGTATACAACAGCGTTTCAGACCATGTTGAAACTGACATTAACTGACAAGTTACACCAGGTTTAACGTGTTGAGACTACCTAGCTATCTGGGTGCTAACGCTTGGTATCCTCCAAAAATGGCCGACTTGCTCTTGACGACCTCACATTCCCAACTCCTGTTGGAGAGTAGCATGAAAATTTCTTAAAATGTTGTCGACGTTTAGACAAAGTTATGCTGCCGAATTCCTGAGACTAGTCGAAAAGTTTTAAAAAGAGGTAAGAGAGAGCAAGTTAACGAGAGATTTTTGTTTCAATGCGTATCTGTAGTAAGGTTGAACAGAACAACCACATGCTGTCATCTCGTTGCACTTTTTTCATGCTTTTTAGGTCTAATTTGCTCATGCAATTTACTAGATGTGGTCTAATCTTAAGATGCAATAGAAACGAACACACAAACGCACCAAAGGGACTTATAGGTCCTCATTTATTTAGTTCCTGAGTTTAGTTCTTTAGATTATTTGGTTTAAATGGGCCACCAGAGCAAAATTAAGAGTGACTCTACAGATCAGTCTGACATATGCATAGCTGTGCAACCAGCCCCTGGTTGTAATAACTGACAATTTTAACAATTTTTCACTTTTGTTCATCTTGTAACTGTGGCGAGTGACATTCCCACATTACTGTCGGTCAAGCAGAAACAAAAGTGAGAACTAACTAATGGGAGATGATTTTGATCTTTATTGGAGGTTTTCTACCAGGACTACTCTCTTAACTGGTTTATTAATGACACCAAGCAGGCTCCTGCAAACAACTTAACATGGTGCTAACCTCAATAGGTTTATGGACAACAGGGGTGCATGTAAACGTTGCCAATGTTACTTTTCCAATTGGCTCTGGCTCAGCACGGGCCGTTTCACCGTCAACCGGGCCGCCTGAGCCTGGGTGCCTGTTCCCTCGCTCATCTCTCTCCCTCTGATTGTCTGTGCATTTATTTTGAGTCTGTACAGTTTGTGAGGTGTGTGTGTGAGGTCCGGGTCATTCAAACACTGCAGCAAGTCTATTGCTTTGATAAAAAGGCATCACTTCACAGAAAAGAGAAAAGAAAAAAAAAACACAAGCTGCTTTGAGGAGTAGTGTGAAGCCTGAAAAAAGCGAGATATACAAAGCAAACGTTTGACACGTCGCAAACGACAATACCATAGAGAGGCTTTTAGAACAACAACAAAAAAAAGAACATACCGGCTAAAATAAAAGAAAGGAAAGAGCGCTACGTTTTTTCACAATCTCACCAGCTTTCTCAGTGTACCTCGCTGATGAGCAATCTTACTGTTTTTGGGCCAGCCAAAGTTCACTTGGCCTCCAAATCCCACTGGTTGGTCACAGTGGTGGGTCCGACCCATATCTTATCTAGGCACATGCATAAATGTGCATGTGTACAGTATGTGTACAGGGTACTGTATGTACTGTGTATGTGCATGTTTGTGTGTTAGTGAATATGCATGCCATCATAAGAAGGTGGTGGGCTGTTGTACATACAGATAATGTTCATTTCTGCATGTAAATTACAATACAGTTCAATCAGCCTCTTCCCCAACCCACCATAGCACCATGACGTCACTGTTATAACATACAGTCTCCCGTTTTTGGGGAGTTGTAAAAAAAAACAACACACTGCTTGAAATCATTGCATGGGGGACTAGTGCGGCAACATGTCAGAGATGAAACATTTAAAACTCATAACGATTGTATTGTAGAAGCTGCTAACGTGGACTAAAAGTCTGTGTGAGCGGCATGCACTAACTAGCATAACCAGTCAAGTCTCGGTATCGCTCTGAAAGCCCAGCAGGGGTTCGGTAAGGAGGGCATCATTCACTTGGTTTTGGCACAGCATGTGGCATTGTTACACAAAAAAACGAGTACTATATGATTGTCTTTTTACTGACATCATTGTCATTATGTGCTTTAGTTAGTCCTGACCAGTCTCTGGCAATAATCAACACGCTCATTTTAATGCTACTGCTGCGTTCCTTTGATTGTTGGAAGTCTGAATGGCCGGCGGTTAGCTTGGAGACAAGCTTTGTGTGTTTCTTGGTTGTTGTTTTTTTGAAAGCAAGATTTTGTTCGCCCAAATAAATGTACGCAGCTATGACAGAGGATTAGGGCCATGGAAGAAGCGAAATTTGTAGCCTAAAATACTGAACTGCCATTCCAAGTGCTGCCTTATAAAAAATGCACTTATTTAGGGCTGCAACTAACAATTATTTTCATTATCGAATAATCTGATTATTTTCTTGATTAATCCCTTTTGTAAAATGTCAAAAATGCAACACTTTTTCCTAAGGGTTCAGAAGATGATATAGATATGTGTATGCTGATTTAATCACAAACAATCCCATATTTACTTGGAAAAGCCAGAACTCAGAAACATTGTGGCACATTAGTGATATACTGAATAGAAATAACTAAAGGTGGTATTAGAAATCAATAAATGGTTTTATTTACAAATCTTCAGACATTTTTCCAAATACATGTCTTTTTTCATTTACCCTAAAGCTCATCACTTAGTCTAAAATGTTGCCATTACAAATAATTTAATTATGTGTTAATTTATGTCTTTTTACACGTTATTTTTAAAATGTATCCAAATGAATGCGTTAGGTTTGACTGCATTTGATACCAAAATGGGGCGGCAGCTGGGGTCAGCTCTAAATCCACCCGTGCAAATCTGTTTTATTAGAGGTTGGTTAGGAGCTCTGTAAACCAAAAAAGGTTTTGGTCAAATGTAATACACGTCTCATATGTGCATCATAGACATACATGTCTTTAGCATCCGTTCCTCAATTCAGCATAGTTAATTAATATTAATGAAGTAGCCCTTCAAAAATTAAGAATGGGTTTGCCTGATATTTCATATGCTTCTTTCATTTTCTTCTGCAAACAGTGTGACACATCTCAGACAGTTCGGATTGAGAGATATGCTATGGGAAATACCAGAGATATTTGAATGGAGTTTGGTTTGATGTTCTAGAAGACATACAGTACAGATTTCTCTTGCATATTTCAGACTTGGTGAATTCTGCCAAATGAATGTACAGAATGTCTGAGTGTATTTTTCAAAATATTATCCCTCTTTCTTTTTTTTTTCTTCTTCTGCAATAGCCCTAATATGCTGTCGTACAGCCTATGTTGTCCATGATATTTAGCAATGTTTGCTAGGTAGTTAGCACATTGGCAACTGTGGGTGTACCTTCACATTTCAAAAATCCCATGCTTAGCTACTTACCACAAAGGTAAGTATTGGGCAGAATTATGCTCATACTTTACTGAAAAATTAACTTGTGGGTTTTGAGGATTATAAGTTTAACAGTATTGCTGTGTAGTGTTAACAGTGTACGCTGCCATGTAGATGTCAACGGTTTCCCAGAAAAGTTAATGTCACAAAATTTAGTCCAGGTTCTCAGGATTCTGCCGCTCTGTTGCAAAATTCAGATTTTTCCGACATCTATGGAACGCAGCATTATGACTTAACATTGTGATGGGTGGCTACTTAGAGACTTACAAAGGCCTGTGAGCTGTTGTCCATTAGAATGAGTGTTGCTGTTAATGGGTCAGGTCACAGTATGATGGTGAGGCACTGAACAGTTCAGACGCTCACCAGATGGATGACTATACGTACAGGTAATATCAACCAACAAAGGGGTCCAATAAAGTCCAGCGGGTGGGGTGGAAAGGCTAACGGATCGCTAACAATGTCTCGTTTTGTGTAGCACTTGAGCAGCCATTTTGAGTTTTTCAAAATAAAGGAAGGAACATTTGCATGGTTTCTAATGAATGAACAAGTGTTGATAAAATCACCATTATGCCAACTGTACAATCATCAACACAAATAAACTATAGTAAAATCCGAGGTGAGAGGTTATATCCACAACAATAACAACAACAGAACAAACCCAAAAAAAGAACAAAATGCTATTCACATGTACCCGCACAGTAAGGAATGGTTCCATCCAAAACTAGACCAGAGAGCTACTCCTAAAATATGGAATGAAGTGACACTCAGTAGTGCTAATAGAAAGTTCATTGTGACGGGCCTTCTGCTGGTTCCACCCCTGAGACCACCAGGGTTCCCAGGCGCTGACGTATGCACACACACATATACACACACACACAGATGCGCGCACACACACACACACACACACATTAAAATCCATTGGTCAGTCCTCGAAGACCTCCAGGAAGAGAGGAGGGAATAGCTCGGTGGGGCACTCCACTTTCATGTGGAGGAATCGGCTGGCGTGGCAGGCGCCGATCATCCGCAGGTCCGTCACCTTCATTAGCAGCTTGGGCCAGAAATGCGCCACTTTGTGTTTACGGTAGTTGATGTAATGTTCAAAGGCCAGCAGGAACTCCTCTTGGCAGCGTTCGATTCGCTCCACGCTACTCAGGCCTGACCGATCTGTTGACAAAGAGACATCAACCATGTTATTAGTTATTAGTGTGCTGCAGGAGCTTACAGTGGAAATGTGTACACTGTATGAGAGGAAACGGTGAGTGAAAAAAAAATTTGTTCAAAATTATAAATCATAAATTCAATCATACATGTTAGTTTGATAAACAACATTTTATTATTAATATTTGTATTTTCAATGCAATTTTAGTCACTAGAAGCACATTTATGTTTGTAAAAGTTTCTACGTGTTACCCGTGTTAACACAGTGTTTTAAGCTGAAAAGTGCTGTAAGCCAGCTATAAAAAAAAAAAAAAAAATAGGTCCAAATTGGAATAAATCTGAATAACTCTGACTTTTCAAGGTTATTCTGAGCCAGGCACTTTACAGAATTTTTCACTTGTACTTCATATGAATGTAATAAATGTTTACAATCACTGGATTCGCTCACAGCAGCAGCAAGTAAATCCTCAATGTGCTCTTGTGTCAACTTTGGTACAACATTGCCCTGAAACCTACATTTAGCGGTCTTTAATATATGGACCCTCACAGGGGCTGTATGCATTTATTTAGTTCTTCTTAAGCAATTAAAAAAAATGTGTGGCATGATCTAATTTATGTGCTTAATTAGTTCACTAGGTAGATTAGAAATAATTATGTACCTTTACCATGTAGTTTGATAACTAGACAGATAAATATCGCGGTTGACATGAATATGATCCCAGTTGTTAGGACTTGACAACTCTACAATCCAATAATCTGAATTTTAGCCTTAAATATGATTTTGTCGGGTATTGGACTAATGAAGTTAACGCTACGTTTTTAGTATCGCTTTTAAATGTGTTTTTGGAAAATAATTGTATCATGCTGTAATTACAAAACAAAACCAACACTGAACCAATCTGATTGGTTGTTTTTTATTGCAATTGCCATTAGGAGCACTAGGAAGAGCCAGAGGAACCTGTTTTTTCACAGATTATCTGTCTCATGTATTATTGTCAGGATATAGTGAAAACGTCACCAAATATGACCAAAACGTTACCTACCGCAGCTTTAAATGTAACCTGTTTAAACCAACACAAATACTGATAATTACATATAATTATTCTGACATTCAATGGAGTGTTTAATTTCAGAAGCTTTTCTGGTATAAATTGCAAATAGTTGTGATTCTTTAAACTTTTGCACAATATTCTGAATTGTCAATCCAAGAATATTGGTCTTGAAAATTGTATTGATTAAAGCCCAGTGGCTACTGTAAGTTTGACAGGACCAGACAGATGGGCAGGTTATCCCCATGTCACGTCTACATGTACAAAACACAGCAGAACAGTATTGATCTTCAATGAGATGCAGAGCGCCACACAGAGAAAAGGTGCTGGAGCCAAAACCAAGCTAGCTGAACAAAGCTCCTCACAATTATTATGGCGATTAATTGATTGACCTGTAGTTTCTTATGGATTTCATGTCAGAAAAATACTGTACACACAATCTGTGCAGGAGACAAAGTGTTAACAAAGAAATAACACTGCTTTTGAGACAGCCGCACAATTATGGTGCATTTGTGTTTGTTCTGTACAATTCCATAATAAACTATTACTTTACTCTTTTTACTGTTTCCCTAAAATATTCCTGTCTATTAGGAAGTTGTGTTTAAGTCAATGCTAGCGTTTAGTCAAATACGTGTCCTCCTAAAAACTGGAAAGAAATTAAACAAATGGCAGGCAGTAATGTAAGACCATGTTAAAAATAAGAGAGAAACCCTCTTGTGATGAGGGTCCAGACAGCAGGTGCTTACCGGATGAAAGCAGGATGACAGCCTGTAGCAGAGCCACCTCAGAGTCATCCAAGTTAAAGGAGGAAAGCGACACGCCAAGGTCAAAGATGGCATCCGAGACTACGCCCAAGCCTCCGTTCTTAAGCTGACCCCGCGTGACTGCCATCTCGCCGTTAAGTGTGAGGGTCTCACTCTCTGGATCATAGCGAACAGCAGCTCGCAGGGACATGATCTCCATGCAGCAGCCTTTCAACAGGATGATCTGGTCTTCACAAGGCAGCTGATTAGAAGGTGAAAGAGATAAGCAGCGTTAGCAGAAGAATATGGCTAATTTAGCCATAGCATGCACAAGCATACAGGCTTAAATACTGTTCCAATCAGGGAATGATAAAAGAAAAAAACCATTTGAACATTTAAAATCTACTAAAATTTACATTTCTATTGTGAACTCTAGCATAGAGAAGCTGCTCAGTTAGACTGTTGGCTGACTACCTTGGCAGGCAGCTAATTAAGAACAATTGCATTAGCAATAGGAGTCCAAATGTTTTATTATTTTTTTTATTTTTTATTAACAGTTAGCTGACCTAATAATATGGTTATTATTAGCGAACTGTGGAATAAAACATTTCCAGCTAAACAAGCTGAAATACTGCTATTATTTAGTAAAATAATGAATATACCCGAATAAAGTAAAATCAAAACAATATATCAATATAGGGGAACCCAGTTAGCTCAGTGGGTAGAGCTGGCGACCCATGTACTGTGGCTGAGTCCTTGCTGCAGTGGCCCAGGGTTTGAATCCGACCCGCGGCCCCTTGCTGCGTGTCATCCCCTCTCTCTGCCCCCCTTTCCTGTCTGTCTCCAGCTGTTACTATCAAATAAAGGCAATAAAAAGCCAAAAAAATACTTGAAAGAAAATACAATATACATTTTTTTCTGTAATAATTTACCTCACAAAACATAGGCAGTTTTTTGGCAAAGTCCACCACTCGGGTTATGGCAGGGGTGATAATTTTTGTAAACTGACTGAAGGCTTCTATATCCACTTTGTTTCCTTCAGGTGCATTGACCATGGACGCTTGACCAATATCCTCAGGCTGAAACGAGAAAGAGAGAAGGTGTCTGTACAGTCTTTGAGTTTGAACACAAAAATAAAACGTTTTATAGTTAAAAACTTAGCATTTCGATAAGGAGTGTATTATTCATGGTCGAATACAAAAATGGAGGAACTTTAAGGTGTTTACTTTTGGTAAGATTCTGACTGGGCAATGTGATGTAAAGACGTAAAAATGGGGCTGCATAACTATAGACATATAGCACTCATATCTATTGCACTTAATTAAATGTGCTATGCAGGTATCTGACTGTAAATTAATATATTCATGACATAAAGTAACACTGATATTGATAATGGAACTACACAAGCTGAAAGGCAGTACATATGTTTTTCTATATTTAGGTTTCTATATGCTGTGTCTTACCTTAGTTTCCTTCACCCCCGCTGCACTCTGGTCAGAAGTATAGAATAAATTACATGTTATTTCATTAAGAAGCATAGCTTCCTCGACCTGTTGGATAATCAACAGGAATCGTGAAGTTTCAATGAAGAACCCGTGTCAAGGCAACTAAAAAGAAAACAAGTTAAAACTGAGGACAGATGAAAGAGTGTGCAGATAGAAAACAGGTGAGGACAGAAGATGGGTTTCTATGGTGAGATTCAGGCGCAGGACCATGACTTCAAACAGGTCCTCAGAAACACTCCGACGACTATCGACGACGCTGAAATGCATATTCTAAATAACAGACCCTAAGGCCACGATCGGACACTTCAATCAATCAAAACTTCGATAAGTTTTTACAAAATACCACAAGGTAACATGATGAAAGCACCTAAGTAGAACGATATTTGTGTTAAGTGATGCATGTAAACTGACTGAAAATTAAACAAATGTCACTTTCCCGCTCCTCTCAAAATTTAAGAATATGCTGCAAATTCACCAACAAATGAGAACTTTCAATAAAAACTGTTCTCCACCTAACACCGGTTAAAACAACATATCAATTCAGTTTCACGCGTGTGCATGAGTGTTCTTTCTGATCGTGCCATAGAAACCCAAGATAAAGTCAACAGTTGAGACGGACTTTCAATCTGGACAGAGCAATTAGACTTTACAGAAAAGAAAAACAAAATTAGTCAAAAAAAGGGTGAGGTGTGAAATCAAAAGCTACAAACAGAAAGAGAGAAAAATGAAACAGCACGAAAAAAAGCAAGTTATTAGTATTAGTGATTAGGATCATTGCTTGAGACACAGAAAAAGACAGGAATAAGATGTTCCATTATAAATTAGTGCTGCTGCGTTGAGGAACACACTTTTCTCCATCGTCCAGCTAATTCTCCCCACTCTACAAGGAGATACAAAAAAACACATGGACATATTAACACAGAGAACAGTGGAACAGTGGTTGTGGTG